GGACAGGGCAATAAATCACACAGAGGTGTACAGGGTGCCCTTTTCAAGCTACCTTAGGGTTATAGGAGCATTTATTTATTTCTTCTGGCCTTTAGAATCTCCTTTCCTGTATATACTAGCACACAGCTGGAAATTTACTGTGACAAATACAGATATTGTTCATAACGTGGAAAGGAATTTATTGCCTGTTTCATCAATTCCTACACATTTAAGAGACAACAATTCATGTGCAGTTAACAGGCCTTGAAACAAATGTTTTACTTCTTCCAGGTATTTACAGTCAATACTAGCTGGCTATTATACGTATGATGCATGCAACAGCGTTTGCAATCACATTAACAAAGCCGCACAAGACATATTTATGTAAAAATCATTGAAGAAATTGAAGCTGTGCAGGAGAGGGAACCTGAAGTTTCTATTTACTACTCAATTAAGTGTTTGATGAAACAACACTCTGAAGAGAAAATTTAAGTAGGCAGAAAATTAAACTTTTCTTGGCCTGTCTGATCTGGATTTGGGGGGATGTTTTATCCTCGAATGGTCCTTCAAGCAGTGATTTCTTCCATTACCATTTCCTGATTGTCTGAGTATTTGCACATTTTTCCCTCTTGAGATGTTTCCAGTATTACACTAACCAGTCAAGATTTGCAGTCTGACCTAAGGAAAAAGAGAACTTGCACTGAATCTATTTAAGGTGGGAAATGAAGCCAAAAGAGGTAAAAGATAACAAAAAAAAAAGGAAAAGGAGACCCAGCAGCTGTAATAACTACGTCTGCAGATCTAAGTCTGTACAACTGACCATATACACCTTTCCCACTGCTGACAGCAATTTTGTAAATGGTGCTCCAAGGACATTCATATGAAAGCTAATTCCTGGGTTCTCAAAAACTCTAGTGTTACCCTCTACCTAATCCCCCACCCCCACCCCCCAAAAAACCATACAAGGCAGGATTGTGGCATCAGAACAAGCTATGGAGATCTGCCCAGCTTTCAACAGGTCCCATTATCTTCAACGAGACAAAATCAGATCTTAGCCCTGTGCCTATCTACACTGGACTGGCTGACTACATGTTACTGGCAGTTTGTTTGTGTTTTTCCCTTCCAAATCTGACCTGAAAGAAAAGGTTAATATTGAAATGCAACAATGTGGCTCTAACATCGCCTGGATTTCTCATAAATATGAGAAAAGCAGTTCCAAACAGGAAAAAAAGCTGTTGTGGAAGGAACCCATGACTTCACCCTCAAGAGTTTTGTTTGCAGACAGCCCAGGCACCCAGATGGATACCAGTATTCTCTATCTGAACAGCCAAAGAAAAACACCATCTGGGTTCCCTTTTTCTCACATGACTCACTGCTTACCATGATCCTGTGACTAGTGTCATGAAACTCATGAGCAGAGAGTTAAAAACCGGAACAAATGCCAAGCAGCCTCTCATCCCTTTCCCTCCTCTGCCCCTTCCTTTGCCGGCTTTGGAAGAAGTGATGGATGGTCATTAAACTCATCTCCCTGTTTGTGGACATACGAAGAGTTATTTGTTAGCAGAAGCGTTATGTTATTAACTGGTGTTGTTTACAGACACTTTACTTATAAAAATATCGTCCTTGTTTTTGCATTTTCTGAGTTTGCATAATACTGTTCCTTTAAAGGAACCATGTTGTAGAAAACAGTAAAGGACAGAAAGTCTTTTAAGCATTTCTGTGGGATGGTTCTGTTTTTAGTGGACAAATAATAAATCCATGATTAGATTCAGAAAATCAGTTTCATTCAATTATTCAATGTGCTTAAAGTAACATAACTTAGTTTGGATGTCTAAATCAAATTGATGAATCAATCTGAAGGCTTTCCGTTTCCAATTTTATTCAGAAAGTCAATCAAATTGTCTGTGAACGGACTGACTGGAAACTTTATACAGCCCTAGTTGAAATACATCCTGTAATTACTGTTCTTTATGTGAATAACAATCAACCATAGTAGTCTGGCAATTTCTATCATGGAATGTTGTTCATTTTATTGTAGTGATCTCACAAACATACTTCCAGTATTTTAAGATTCATACATTTGAGGATCGTAACTGCCCAAAGGCACTTAAAACATGATTCACTCACCTGAACCTTAATCTGAGTCATTTCATAATCCATATATTTTACTGCAGGAAATAGGTTGATTGCACTGTGACATTTTAACCTGTTTCCCATTATGTGATGTAAGAGTTTTATTAAAATGGCAGGATCTAAACCCCAGTAAAAATGAAGGAGGAAAGGTATGAGAGAGCACGTGCAAGGAATAAGTGTTTTTCTCTAGTAAGACTTATATGTTAAGCAACACAAGAGCCGTGTTATGTAAATCAGGCAGTTAAGATAAAGTGGTGATTCTGAGTTTTGGGAAAATGTGCTTTCCAGAAGGAGTGAACATTCAACCTCCACAGAAAGGACCCCTATTTAAACAAACTGAATATTAATGTATTAGATTGCAGTCATTGTCAAATATTTTATGAGTATTGCTAAATTATTTAGTGACAACTACTGAATTATTACCTAATTACAAAATACTTGATCCCAATGTCCGCTGAATGAAGTGCTTTTAATAAATGTAGAAGTTCAAACTGCTATGGTATCTCACTTTGTATGCTTTTAGATTGCTGTTCTTTAATTCTGGGAGATGAAGTGGTCACCAAGATTTTAGTTACTTGAGAGAGAGGTGCCAAATATTCCAAACTCAAAACAATTCAGCCTCAGACTGGCTGTGTGGAGTGTTTGAGCTTGGAAGGTTGGAAGTCAGAAACAGAACTTGACCATTTTGAGGGGTATCACTTTGAATGTTTTAACTGGTCCAGATGCTGTGGCTGATAGCTTTTGTAGCTTGTGACTGGATTGTATGAAAAATGGGTGCATTGTTTCATTGACAATTCTTGTGAAAATGGACTCGAAGCATTACAAGACTACAAGAGATAGGGCTGTCCCCAGATTCTGAGCACAGGTAAGGAGGCATATTTTGGCTCCCCACCAAATGCTAGTGAATGGAGAATCTCTTCTCAGGAAAGCCTCCCTCCCTGGATTCTCAAGAGAGAACAGGAGTTAGTTCTCTTTGTCCTGTAATGTGTTGGATAATCTCTCTCTTGCTCTGTCAAAATCCCATTAAGAAATGAAAAATACACCTTTGGCTTTTGTTCAGAAGTGGGAAAGGCTCCTTCTAATAGATTCTAAACTATTGGCTGATTTCCTTCTTATTGCAGGTGGTTCGTCAGTATTGGTCAGCAAGGACTGCCGTTCTTGCAGTTTGAAACTCCAGTATTCTTAGTTTGTTCCAACAGAACATGGAACACTCAAGCCATTTTGAGTTTTCTGGCATCAGATCTCAACAACTCAAAATATTTTGCTGAAATGCTATGAGCAGGACTCTTTGTTCCAGGCTCAAATCAAAACACATTTTCCATTTTATGCCCGTATTCCTTAGGGAATTAAATCACTGTGGATATCGTCAGGGTCATTCTTAAATTCTTGAGATGTCTTTGGTGGGGGATTTCTATGGAATAAAATTAACCACAAATCATAGAAAACCATTGCAAACTAAATTAAACAAAAATATGGTTTATTTTACACAAATGAAGAGTCAAGGTGGTAAAACTGAGGAGGAAAAGATGCAGAAAGAAAAGAAGGACACCAATAAAGCAAATACGCTGAAAGGAAAAGTAGATTCATTCTCACAACCGTAACGGCTCATTGCATTCATAAAACACAAGTTACCCTACAGCCAAAAATGCACTATGCAAATCATCTTCCTGTTTGAATGCAAGGTTTGTATCTGTATAATGTTCAAGAAAAGGAATAGCTTCTATAAATAGCTTTTAAAGCTTATTTGCTCCTTGATGGTTCAGAAATATAGAGAAAGCCCCCCCCCCCAAATAGAAATTATGAGTTCAATCATCATCATTCTGTTTTCATTTTTGTATTCTGATCTTTATAGTTAAAGCTGGATGGTTGAATAAGGTCATAATTGATATTCCGAGCATAAAAAAAATGGAAGGCAACACATGCCTCGTTCATGGCAGGCTGCACATGTTACCACCAAACCTAATGCTGTGTACCTAGTTTGTCTTGTCAATTGCCAGGTAACTGTTCCTGTCCCTTGCACAGGAACTTCATCAAAAACCAAGTACCGCAGCATGTATGGCTAGTAGATCACCATCTCTGCAAGCCTTATATAGATCAATATATTTTTTGCCTGCCTGAAATCAATGGAAACTGGATGCATTGTTTTGTATCTGCGATAAACGATTCTGTAACTGTAAAACAAGAATTCTCTCGAGTCTTTCATCCACAAATCAAATTTGCCAATACAATCTGCAGCATTACAAATTATTGGAACAAAATTATTCCATCCATTTTTTAAAATTTAAATTTGTTCTACTTGCAAGCAAAGACCTTTGTAACAATGTATTTTTAACGCATTATACAAGTGTTTTGTTTATCCAGATTACAACAAGCCCTAGTTTGCATCCTGTGAATGGAAAGCATTCCAGGGAGGCAAGCAAAATCTGTGTTAGTTTATGGAATACTCCAAGCAGCCATGGCAATCCTTTAAATTTCTATAGGCAAAAATACAAATTTTGTGAAAAGTGCCACTTAATTATTGCGGGGGGGGGGCTGCCTTTAGATACTGTCAGATATTTGACATACTTGGAGGTCATACAGATAAAATATGCCAATTATAATTCAATTAACATGACGTTTAAAAGCACAATTGTTTTTTTAAAAAAAAACTATTGATACACAATATATTCAGTGAGCTTTTTAGTTAGTGAACATTCAGTTTCTTCCTCTCATTTGAGAGAAAGTCAAGATAGTGCAAAAGAGTATTTTAACATATACTATATTTAAAAACAAACCAGCAACCTGTGACCCAGCTAATTTCTTATCATGCTCAGGTAAAGCATTTAAGAAAAGAACTATTCTAAAAAAGTAGTGGGAAATGAGACAAGCATGCAGGTATTCTCTAAACATTACTTGACATCACATAATAAGGCAACGCCACGTAATATCCAATGTTCAGGTGGGTGGGTGGTCCGTAGGTCCACTGCAGCGATGTAATTCAGATCTGTCCGAATTGGTTTTTTGTAGATTGGACATGAGTATAGGCGTGGATCTTTTGAGGCTAGGAAGAGGGCAAAACAGAACAGCTCGTTTTTATAAGGCTATAAAGAAACTCAAATAAAATTTCAATTAGCATAGCTTAAACAGAAATGTTAAACAAGAATTTAAACTTAGAAATCATCAACTCTTAGCTCATCCAAGGATACGTTGTGAAATCCACTTACGAAAATATGTTTAGGAGGATAAAAGGAATTAAGGGAAACTTTTGATAAACTGACAATACAGAATACGGAGGGGGGGGGGAACCTTATTTTTCTGAGCTTTCTGAAAGACCTGAAACACAACCATGTATGTTAGGAATCTTAACAGGTATTTTTACTTCAACAAATTATAATACATAGCATCTTTGCATGTTACAAGCAAGTGAAAGAGCACAGCAGTGGTAGAAATGTCTTCCAATGTGGTGATATCCTTAATGAATACAGGCAGTCCTCTACTTATGACCATTTGTTAAGTGATTGTTCGATGTTACGATGGCACTGAAAAAATTGTCTTATGACCAGTCCTCACACTTATGACCATTGCAGTGTACTTGCGGTCATGTGATCAAAATTCGGTGCTTGGCAACCAGCATGTAGTTATGATAGTTGCCACATCCCAGAGTCCTTTGTGACTTTCCCAGCTGGCTTCCAACAAGCAAAATTGATGGGGAACTGTGTGATTCACTTAACAACCACGTGATCCACTTAACAACCACATGATTCACAACGACTTGTGATTCGCTTAATGACCACTGCAAAAAAGTCATAAAATTGGGTGTGGTCACATGATGCCTTGCTTAATGACCGCACCACTTAATGATGGATTTTCCAGTCCCTATTGTGGTCATAAGTCGAGGACTACCTGTAAGCAATAAAAGGATACATAAAAGTATTTTTTAAAGTATTGCTTGACTAGATTTTAATCCAAAGGCTTCTGTGTTTGGGTCAATAAAAAGTGTTTAAACTTCCATGGCACTCCTTCTATCACTAACAAAGCTTTCTATTGTAGTCACCAGTTTCACTTCACATGGAAGAAAGCATCAAACAATAACCTTAACACTCCAGGGAAACAGACAGAGAAGCAGATGCTCCTTCAGGAAATTGTACATCAAAGCAGATGGGAGTTTAAAAATTAAAAGCAGCATTTTGAATTGGGGCCAGCATTTAACACACAGGCATAATATGATCTTCAGCCAGCTCCACTCTAGTCATCCTTTCAGGATAATTAAAATTTCTAGGCCATTTAAAAAAAGAAACATTTATAGTGCATTACAGTAATTCAATTGGGAGAGTACCAGAAAGTGAATAATTATTGCCAGCATATCTTTGTCCAGGAAGGTTCATTATCAGTGTATCAGACCAAGGGCCCATCCATACTGCAGTGGTAATATGCTCCCAGTGACGGGAGAAAAGTATTCCAATAGAAAAAGTGCTACTTCCCAGCCTACCTTTTACCACACCTCTGAGAGGCCAGTAATGTTGCTGCCCCCACAGAAAGTAATATGGGTTACTTTCAGGACAGCAGTTGCTTTTCCTCTTCCAAGCCAGATTACTGACCTCCAGAGGTTCCTCCTCCACACACTGCAGATTGTCTAGGCAGGAAATCTTCTGCCGTGATAGCTGGGCAAACACGACTTTCCTGCCAGAACTCAATGAACTGGCCTATGAGATAGAAGCCATCTTGTCCAGATACATCATCGAGAAATGGTTAGTGAAGCACCTTCAGGCTATGTCAAGCCAGCTATGTGGATGAACTTCAAGCTGATAAAAGATGGTAGAATCACTAAGTTCACTTGTGCCTGTAGTGGCAATGAAGGAATACAGACACTCCCAAATAAAAAACTTGATTCCATGATACAGGAATGGACACCCCTCGCCCCCAATGTTGCTGAATACCAAGTCTCATCAGAACAGTTGGCGGTATGTATGTATGTATGTATGTATGTATGTATGTATGTATGTATGTATGTATGTATGTATGTATGTATGTATGTATGTATGTATGTATGTATGTATGTATGTATGTATGTATGTATGTATGTATGTATGTATGTATGTATGTATGTATGTATTTAACCAATTTATATAGCCACCCCTCTCACCACAGACAACTCTGGGTGGCATACAACAAAGCTAAAAACAGTCAATAAATACATTAAAAATATAAAAAGCAAAATAAAACAGATAATAAAAGGATGTTAAAAATAAGGAAGCCACCTCACTAATTCCCCCATTCTCTGGGGTCCCCTGGCCTGCTGGCATAACCAAGTCTTAAGGGACCTCCAGAGCGCAACAAAGACGAGGCCAATCTCACCTCAGGGAGGAGAAGATTCCACAGTGCAGGCACCACAGCAGAAAAGGCCCACCGCCCGGGGACTACCAAATGTAGAGCCCTAGGCGACAGAACCTGTAACATGCCCTTTCTGCTGGATCTGGTAGGACAGGCAGATGAAATCATGGAGAGGCGGTCCCCCCTTATAATGAAAGTTATAGTCCATATCTGGAGAGTCATGCATTACTCAGCCTCAATTTAAGGAGAATGCAATTCTGTTGGACTAGAATTGATATTGCTGAACACGGCAGAAGAACCAAGAAAACTTGCCTAGCCTGAATTTCAGATTTTTTTTGCTCTCATCTTTTCCATTACTGCTAGCACCATCAGGTAGACCAGATCAAAAAGCAACTCCACAGGAAGGCTAAGATTACTTTTATCGAATGGCTATAATAACAGAATCTTGCAAGTCTGATAGTACTGTACCCACTCCCCTTCTTATACCCATGTGAATTAGGGAGGCATTTGAGCCTCTTCCACATACTTTTTGCTTGTTTTGGACTTAAGCTACGTTTTTCTCCTTATAACAGATCTGGTAACAGATCTGGCCTATCTCTGTCAAGGTCATTTTCCTTATTCTCTACAATTACCCTCCAAACAGCAGATCAGTTACCTCATTTCTAAATGAAGTCCTTATTTGGATATTAGTGATACATCAACCAATACTCTTGGACAACTATTCCTGCAGTTTTATGCAGATTTCACAACAATAGAGACCACTAGGAGACTGTACACCAATGCCATGGAAGTCAGCAATATTTCTCCAGAAGCACCTGCCATAACTGTCTAAGTAGGAGCAAGACCATTGTAATTCAAGACAATGCAGCTTATCCTGAAGGTCTCTGACATGAAAAGTCTTGAGGGAAGGAACAGCTGTACTCATCCTATTTCTTTCCTGGCAAAGCTCATCCAGAGGGTGGCAATTTAAAATGCTGTCCTTGGAAATCTAAGTAGAGTGAGACCACTTCATGTTTTGGGCCATGCATGACATTCTCAACTAAGAAGGGTATTACACAGAGCCTGCAATATATAAAATCCTTCATATATCTGCAAATCAGATTGACAGGCACTGTGTTCAGTTACCTCTTACCAAAGAGATTTAACCAAATAACTGCTTGTGTCACAAATAACTGAAAGTAAAATGGTAGACCACAAAGCTTGGAGTTTTATCGTATTTCTATTTATTTCTGATGGGATTTCATTTCTTTTTTTAAAAAACGGACTATTTTCAGGTCAACGTTTTGAACCAAGTTTCAAAAAGCAGAGCGGCTGTCTGTCTCTCCAGCCCACCATCTATTCTGACAGCTGCTTCCCTTCTTCACAGATCCCAGAGCGTCTTCCTTTCACTTCTGAAGTTGCACTTTCAATCTTTTGACTTGTTTGCTCAAGCAGATCCAAACTCCATACATTCAGCTGTCAAAAGGAACACCTACATACCAAGTAACAACTTGTAGCCTTGTAAAAAAAAAAAAAATCCTTACAAAATAAAAAGTTAGGTTTAAACTGATTGACATTTTTTAAAAAATCAATAATTTAAGTGGAAAGAAATCCTTTTCCACTGTGTTGATTTTTCTCAGATGAACAAATGTGTTATTTATTCTCCTTATCCATAGGTTTCATTATGTTTTACACAGCAGGTCTGATCTATCACGTTGAAGTATAAATGCGTATTTTATCAGAACTTCCTCTTTATTGACTAACACACTTCAAGCTGTAGCCACCACTGAACATACAATAGGTAAAAAGCAACATCCTTGTTTTACATATTATTTGGTCCCTCTCATTCCAACCAGAATGTATCCATTGCCAAGTCAATCCTAATATTGGTGAAAGGAAACAGTAGTTTTATTGGCCTGTTTAGATATAGGTTCCGTTTCTACTGAGAAAGGAAATAAAAAATTTGTGGAAAATAAAAATAATACTAACAAAAATTGTAACCATATATCCAGCTACATACAATTAAGCTATGTTTCTTTGCATTTAATTACTAAACAAAAGGTTGCAATTTTATATAGTATAAAATAATACTATATAAGAATATATAGTATTATTTTAACTATATATTCAAGGTGAGCCAAATCATGTTCAGGATGATATCTGTACCCTGTCTTGATTAGTACACTTCTCAGCTAATGTTGTTCTCTGAGCATACTCTGTTTATTTAGATGATGAGGTGATATGCAAGGCTACAATATTTAATTGTGTAACTGATGCATTTTGTTTACATCCTTTTTTGGTACTTGAAGCCAGAGTGCTTAACAGTTGATTTAAGAGTGACGTTTCTCTCTCTTTCCAAATCAAAATGCCAATTTTACCACTCTGTGATCTCCTAAACTGTTATTAAATCTTCTGACTTTTGTGGAAGGATGATAAAGTGATGTCAGTACAGGTGCTCCTCAACTTATGGACACAATTGGGACCGGAATTTCCATCACTAAGCAATGCAGTTGTAAAGCAAGATGTCATGTGACTGCATATCTTAGTGACGGCAATCCCAGCACTCTCCATTGCCATAAGCAAATTCCACCGGTCGTTAGTGGAGGACCCACGCCAATCCAAACCATTCCAAGCTTGGTCCCTCCCAGCCTTGAGCCTCAGTAAGGTAAGGGACTGCCTCCAGCCCCCATCACCCACCTATCTCCCCCCGCATCTCTGCCCTTTTGGCCACCCTGCATCCTGCCTTGCCTTGTGGCTCTGGGGCTGCTCGCCATGCTGCAGCCCAGGAGCTTCTTGGTCCTCCTTCCCCCGTTGCTCACTCGTATGCATCAGCACCCTCCTTCCCTCCTTTGCATGCTTGCATGTACCAACGCCCTCCTTCTCCCTTCACTTACTTGCACACACCAGTGCCCTCCTTCCCCTTTGCTTGCTCGCACACATGCACTGCACCCTCCTTCCCTCCTTTGCTCACTCACATGCACCAGCGTCCTCCTTCTCTCTTCACTTGCTCACATGCACCAGCACCTTCCTTCCCCCTTCACTTGCTCGTACACATGCACCGTGCTCACCTTCACTCACTCACACCAGCACCCTCGTTCCCCTTCACTCACTCATATGCACCAACGCCCTCCTTCCCTTCTTCGCATGCTTGCACAGACCAACACCCTCCTTCCCTCGCTCGCACACACCACGCCCTCCTTCCTCCTTCGCTCACTTGCATGCACCAGTGCCTTCCTTCCCCCTTCACTCTCATCAGCACACTCCTTTCCCCTTCACTTGCTTGCATGCATACACTGCACCCTCCTTCTCGCCTTCGCTTGCTCAAGGCCTCTCCAGGATGCTTCTGGTGCTGAAGGAGTGCTCCAGGGGTGCTTCCAGGCACTGAAGGTCTCTCCAGGGGCACTTCCAGCGCACGCTATGCAGCTCACGTTGGAAGCTGCTAACCGTTCCCGAGGCTTTCTCCTTCCTCCTGCAAAGCCTTCCTCCTGGAAAGGTGGATGCAAGCAAGTGAAGTGGGAAGGAGGGTGTTGGTGCATGTGAGCGAAGGGGGGAAGGAGGGTGCAGTGCATGTGAGTGAGTGAAGAAAGGCTGGGTTGGGTGAGGGAGACTTACCCAAGTGACTTGAGACCTCCCCTGCTGGCTTCCCCATTGACTTTGCTTGTGGGAAGCCAGCAGGGAAGGTTGGAAATAGTGATCATGTGATTGTGGGGTGCTTGACAACTGGTCGTAAGTGCAAACGGGTTGCCAAGCACCCAGATCACAATCACATGACTGCAGTGGCGTTGCAACAGCAGTAACTTCAGGGACTTGTAAATCCATTTTTTCAGCACTGTCATAACTTTGAACAGTTGCTGAATGAATAGTCATAACTTGAGGACTATATGTGAGAGAAAAAGAGAAACACGCAACCTATCAGTCAGTGTTCTCACTTTTGTCAGTTTTGAACCCAAGGAAGAATAGGATTTCTATTCAACATTAGTGTTCATAATCAATGATAGCAACATTAATGTATCAGGAATAAGATGTGGACCTTATGGAATTCTTTACAAGAATTAAAGGACAATCTACTAATTGCAGCCCTGTTGGGTTATCTATATCAAAGTACTCACCATGTAAGCTAGTTAAGTCCTCCCTGACAACCTTCAAAGATACTGGCTTTTCTGCAGCGTTCATGCATTTAGCATGTATATCTGCAGGACCAATAGTTGTAGGCATGTGGGTTTCAATGCAAATCAGGACTCCACATGATCAGCGTCCCACTTCACGTAGAGGCCAGTGAGGCTTCTCTCCTGGTAGTCATACTATACATGTGAACACCTGCAGGAATGACTAAGTGCTCAAGTAGCAAGTGCACCAGATTCAAAATGTCCAAAGGGAGCTTAAAATCATCTTAAAGAACTTTAAAAGATGTGGGACTCAATAAACTGAGTTCTGGGCACCTGTGCACCTCTTTTTTCTCTTTTTGTTTATTGTACATGTGCCTTCTAAACCTAATTGTCAGCTATTCCAGGCTAGAAGGGCAAATGGATGGTAACAGCACAAATGTTTAACTTTGAAGCTGGAGCTGTGAAGTTTTTTAACATAGAATAACTTAGGGTCACTTGCAGAATCCTAGAAAGATGCCAATAAAACTCGCCTCCTGTACTTCCAATTGGTAAACATGGCTTAGCATAAATTGTTTCAAATTAAACGTGGACCCTTTCTTGCACAGTTCAAATTTTCTAATACAACTTTGCACTTTCTTAGATCCTTTATGTCCATAAAGCACCTAAGTTAGCATTGCTGTTGCTAGAAATACAAGAGTGAATACAGTTTGCACACTATGGTAATACCATATCCGGTAAGGAGTATTTTAATATCTCTGCTCCCAAAAGAGCCACTACAAATAAAGCTTTTCAGGAGCCTGTACAGAGAAATGGCAGCATTTGGTCTTCAGGGGCTGACAAGAACAAGCACTTTCATTTAAAATCCAAGCATTTTCATTTTTTCGTGCCACAAAACCTGCAGAATCCATAGAACATTTTAAATTGTAAAACAATCTAAACTACACTGTATCATCATAATCATGTTCAGTCTAATACTTACTGTTGTTTTCTGCATATATTCTTATCACAGGCATTGGTTCGAACAGCACCTTAGGTTTAGATTCGATGAGCTTCATGTTCCTTTTGTCCCACCCAGCTCCTTCTAGGTAGAGACCATATACATAGACTCCTTCAGGAGGAGGAGTTGAGATGTCGTCATTCATCCATTTTGTGACCTCACTGCACAGCACTACACTGTCAAGTGCCCATCCCTTGTTTGCTCTTGTGATTTCCTGTTTCAGAGCAATGGAACAGTTAGGAGTTAAAGACCAGGGTTTCTACCACCAAAGAACCAGCAATTATGTAACTTCAGAATAAATTGGCCAAGCATCAGAAAAGCTAACTGCAGTTGCATATTTTCTTCTTTTTTTCTCCTGAGACTAATTATATACCAATTTCCATAGTTATGCCTATAAGTGAGGACTACCCTAAGTGGGTTTTTTG